ATTACATATCCTGATTATTATGAAAAAATGCTGCAATTGGTATGGGAGTGAGGATTTGGCATACTAATTTCATATCCTTTTCTTCCTTCTCTCCCTCCCTCCTTCCCTTCCTTCCTTCCTTTTTTCCTTCCTTCCTTCCTTCCATCCATTCATCCTTTCTTACTTCCTTTTTTTTCTTTCTTCCTTTCTTTCTTTTGATAGGTCCTCCATGTGCAGCCATGGCTGGCCAAGAGATTGCTACCAGACCAGGTTGGCCTTGAACTCACGGAGATTCACCACCTGCCTATTGAGTGCTGGGATTAAAGGCATGCACCGCCACACCACGCTTTATTTTCTTTAGGTATAGTCTTTGGGATTGTTGAATAAAGTGATAGCTCTCCTTTTAATCCCGCCCCCCCTTTTGTCAATATATTTTTACTTGCAAGTATTCATGGCAAAGAGTCATTGGTCTGGCTCGAGGCCTCTGGCCTCTGCTACACTGTCGATGCTGGGACTCCTCTGGGATATCTTGGTGCTGCCCTGTGTAGTGGAGATCCTGCAGCTTTGGGTCTGCATGACCGACCCCTTCACTTGCTCCTCCCAATCATAGATGGGGTGGATGTTGGGGTGGGCTAACTCATAACCCTAGATTTCAGCCTGGGTATTTGCAGGACTGGTCAGCCCACTAGCTTTCCCCAGTTCTCACAACCAGGGTGAGCTCTCCAACATTGCCCTGACTAGTTCACCCTTTGTAGCAATGAGCAAAGGATGGGGCCACTTCCCCTGCTTTCATGCCCTCAGGGTTGGCTTTTCCACACCTGGACCAAAAGGACCAGACCTACTATGTTGTCCAGGCGAGGTGTAGGGCCACTCTCCCGAGTGCCATGCCTGGTGAGGGGCAGGAACAGGTCGCCCACTTTTATGACCCTCTCTCCCACCTGCCACAGGCAGTGAGGGGTGGTGGTGGTGGCACATCTCTTCCCTGCCCACATCACCATATGGCAGCGGAGGGTGGGGCCAGATTGCCTACACTCACATTCTCAGGGTTGGTTTGCCAGGTGCAATAGGTCAGCTCTGCTGCCCAGGCACTGCTTTTAATTTTTAAAAGAAACTTTCATGCTACAGTTAGAAGTAAATTCTAGTGTCCTGTTGAATCATAGGAGGGCTACAGTGAACAAAATTGTACTTAATATTTCAAAGCTTTTAAATGTTCTTATAGTAATAAATGATAAATATAAGAGATCGTGGATGGGCTCTAGCATCCCAACCTGATTATTATATGATGTATATACATAACTTATGTTTATACATAGAGAAACACTGTAGACCTAAATCAGTAAATATGTCCGTTATAAACAAAGTAAAATGAGAATTCAGTCTGATAGATGATATTTGAGAATGATGTAAAATGGACAGGAAGAAGACTGGCCATCATTATGTAAGATGTTTTGCTCTGGTGACTGGAGGTGCTGCTCAATACTTCATATATCACACACATTTAATAATACACATTCAAAACTGAGCCTCACTACACCATCTAACATAGGAAATACGAGGGGACCAGATAGTTAATTACCGAGAAATCTCTCCAGGGTTGGGCTTCTAACCTCTACATAGAAATTCCTTGCTACAAGGCAGAGGGACTGACCATCACAATGTTGCCAGTAAGGGAACTAACTGCAGGACTATGTTCAAGGCCACCCAAATAGGAAAGAATGCAAAGCATGCTGGGAGCTTTAATCTTTGTCTCCCAAACCAGGGACCAGCTTTGCCTTTTCTGTATCTGGCTTCCTGTTCTAGACGGCTCTGATTACATACATTCTGAAATAATTTGCTCACCAGGCTTAAACTTTGTTAAAAAATTAGATCAGTTTCTAGAGTTCTTTATATATTTTGGAGATCAGACCTTTGTCTGATGCGGGCTTGGTGAAGATCTTCTTCCATTCAGTAGGATGCCTTTTTGTCTTAATGACAATGTCCTTTGCTGTACAGCAGTGTCTCAGTTTCAGGAGGTCCCATTTATTCACTGTTGCTCCCGTTGTCTGTCTCTGCCTGCCCTTTGGAGATTAGGATATAAAGGTCTGAGCTACTTCTCCAGGACCATACCTCCTTGCCTGCCTGATTGCATGCCTGATGGCTGCCATGATAATGGACTAACCCTCTGTGGTGGTTTGAATAGGTATGGCCCCCATAGACTCCTGTGTTTGAATTCTTGGCCCAAACTTTTATTGGCATCTCTATGTGCTATGATTTATGTCTGCATGTGTGTATGTGAATACGCAGCCGTGTGTGCAGATGCACATGTGTTACAGGCCATGTGTAGAGGTCAGAGGATAAGCTCAGGTGTCACCCCCCCCCCCATCTTCCACCTTGTTTGACAGGATTTCTGTTGCCCCTGCTTCACATGCCAGGCTACCCACGGCCTCTGCAGCCCACCTCATCATCAAGTGCTGGGGCTACACATGTGTGACCCATGTCTGATCTGTCATGGATTTGGGGGACCTGAATTCAGGTCCTCACACTTGTGTGGCAATATCTTTACCCACTGAGTCATCTCTTGGGTCTTAGTATCAGATTTTTACAGTGAACACATGTCACAGATTCGTCTAAACATAGAAAATACAACACCAAGGGTGAACCTTATTGTAAGTCACAGACTTTGGGTGGTGATGTTTCAATATAGGTTCATCGGCTGTAATAAATGGGTTATTCTGCTGGGTAATGTTGACAATAAGGAAGGTACATTGACAGAAAGGTGTCCCCCCGAATCTAAAATTCTAAAGTTGATCTAAAAAGATGAATTCCTGATATACTTTGGACATAGTGGGCTAAGTAAAATATGTTATTAAATTAAATTCGCCTGATTCTCTTGACTTTTTTCATCTAGCTACCAGGGAAGCGGCTGGAACTGTATTTCTATTGAGCCAGCACTGCCTGCCCTAGAGTCTGAATTTCTTTATTAGTTTTACACACATTATATACAGAAAGATAGGCTTTTTTGTGGTATTTTATAAAAAGAATTTATCATTTGTATACCAGTAGCTATAAAATTATTAGTTACAGAAAATTATACTTTACTATTTTCTAAAACAAAATGTGTTTTTGTTTTTCTTTCCTCGTATCCTCCATCCCCTGTGTTCTCCCAGTCTCGGTAGCCTTTACAGCTTCGTGTCACATAGACCTTCTCCTTCCTCTCTTGTGGTCTCCTATCCAGTCTCAAGACTGTAGCAGTATTTGCAAGCATGAAGCTTTAAGATTTCTGCATACATGGGACTTTTGTCTTTCTGAGACTGGGTCGCCTCACTTCACATGGTAATCTCTATACCTCTTCATTTGACTGAAAATCTCATAACTTTGACTCCAAGCAAGCTTCCTCCATTCCTCAGTTAAAAAATGACTGAAATATATAAACAGTTCATACAGACTGCACTTGTGCTAAAGGAACTGGAGCGTGTTCACATGCAGCAAGACGTTGTGTTGCCTGGGCATGGTGTTTATCATGCCCTAGCAAAGCATGGGCATAGGAAACGTGAGTTCTTCCTTGGGCTCTCCTCGGGAGCAGGAGAGACATAAAGAACATCAGGAATAAACACAGCACTGTGACCACTCCTTGTTTTTTGTCTAGTGAGTGTTCCTTGGTATTTTGTCCCATTCTTGTTCCTGTAGTTGCATGTTGCCTGAACTAAGACCTGCAGCTAAAGACCTGTTTGTTCCTTGGTTCCCCACTGCTGCTCTGAGACCAGCTTCCCCATGGCAAAATCAGGCACTGAGTAGTGATCTCCAAAATTTCTTCTTGCTGGTAGTTTTCCCACTCTAAGAAACTAATTTTTCTTGGGAAGCTTTCACGGGAGCTGTTTTAAATGAAGCATGCTGATGGAAGCATCTGAAAACCTCTTCTCTTCCCTTCCTACTCCTCACCTTCAATTCTCTTAAGCTAGAAAGACTGAGTAACAGAACATAAACAAACATCTAGGGGTATACAGAGATTTTCAGTTGTTTCTGATGTTCGAAACCCTTTTGCAACTGAAAAAAAAACAAAACACCTCTTTGAAATCAGGTTGACTTCACCTGAGCAGATACCGTCTGTTACAACAGTCCCACGCTTCCCCATTCTTCCCAACTCCAGGTCTTGGCAGTGACAGGTGAGTAGGGCCCCCTTTCTTGCAATTCCCTGCCCAAGAAACTGTCAGGCAACTCACAGGCAATATCAGCAGACAGGAAGTGGGCTGGGGAATGAGGGGATCTCCACCCATTACCAGCTGCTTGAGTAGTAGGCAGGAGGATCCAGGTCAGCAGATACTCAAGACAAATTTACACCACATGCTACCCACTTATAGACTTAAAACGCTAGGAAGGAAGCTGGAATGCCAATCCCCTTATTTTCTCCATGCCTTGTGTTTGGAATCCAAAAGGATACAGCAGAACAGTTGGATTTGGCAGTGGAAAGGGAATTAGTAGGCAAATAGAAGGAAGTGAAGGCAGCACCAAGGGAAGCTGTCTTTGTGGAGTATTGTGTACCAGTGGTTAGACGTCAAGACCCATCGTTCTCCAAGTGGTGATGTGGACACAGGCTTCCTAACTTCCTCATTCATATATAACCCAAAGACAACTTGGACAGATTATCAGAAACTTTTGGGGAAAGTGATGGGTGGAGTGGGGAAAGGAATGAGGTAAAAAAATGACTTCATCCTTCTAAAAGTACAACAATGCCATCACCTCAGTGGTTTTGCTATGGCTTCTTTTCATGTGATGTGGAAGAGAAAGTTTTGGGGGAAAACCAGCAAGTCAGTGTAAGTTTCATTAGCAGTCTAAAATAAAAATGTATACTCCTATTTATCCATATATCTTTATGCATTTTTAACATTTTGTGGGAGATAGTTGACTTTTTCTTATTCTGACTTTTAAAGAATATTTGCCATGACTTTATAAGTGCATGAGGTTTGGGTTTATAATTTATGTATGGCATATACACACATAAGTTTTTATATTCTCTTAGTAGTAGGAAAATGCCAAATGGTTACCTTTGTGAATGTGTTCTGATTGACCTGCAAACCGACTTTTACCACCTCAAAAGGGTTGATCACAATGGCTTCTGTTATTCCAGTTCCAAGTCCAGCAATGGCAAATGTCTAGAAAAATAAGTCAACCAACGCTTTAAAACAACTGATTGTGCATGCTGGGTTAAACATTCTACTCATTATGCAATGCAGCCGAAGTTAAGACAAGAATGAAGGAACCCCGCTAAGTGCACCATGCACTGTTACTAAGTGCACCATATACCGTTACTAAGCAGCTTGAACTCTTGATTGTATGCTGACAATTCATGGAGAAGAAATTACAGAAGCCACAAACCACATCCCAATAAAACGTCAAAGCCCCATCAACAATGATGTCTCCTTTTAACAAAAAGGCAGGCTGTTTGACTGGTTAAAGGTGGATCCTAAAACACCTTCATGTATATAATGGAAGAGCTTAACTTGTAAAGGAAGAGCTCCATTTTAAAATGTCTATTTCAGTGCAGCTGAATAGAACTGCAAATAAAATGCTTATATAAGGTCACCTTCCAGGCACATAACTGGAAACATTCAATTGCATAGTCTTGTTCTTAGAACCACTGCCTAAGATTATTAACAAACAAAATTATTTTCATTCACTCTGTATTTTGTTTTGTTTCTGTTCCCAATGCTGTGGATAGCAGCCTGGGCCTTTTGCATGGAAGGCAGAGCTCCCCCACTGTGTCGCATCCCAGCTATCTTCCGTTTCTGGAGGAGTGATTACTCTGTTTTTTGTAGCTAAAAGCTGAGTAATCAACCCTGTGATCAGAAATGGCTGGTTGTTCTGATGGGCTCCTCTGAAATCTAGAACATTTGTCAAAGGATGAGATTGCATGTCAGATTCTCTTTGTCGATGGGTTGAGTCTCAGCAATAGAAAACTAATTTCAGCCCTTGAGAGGCAGAGGAGCTCTCTCTGAGTTTGAGGCCAGACTGGTTCTACATGGTGAGTTTCAGGGCAACTGGGACTACATAGAGAAACCTTGTCTTAAAAAAGAAAAAAAGAAAAAAGAATTTTAGCAATAGGAAGTAATATTTTTCTTCTACAGAGAGTCTGAAAGGTCCCTAGAAAAATGTACATTAGCAATAAGCCAGCAATAATTAGAGGACATGCATGTACACACACATGCACAGCAGAAAAGCAAAACCTTTACCGTCTAAAATCCCTTGTTGCTGAACTAGTTCCAGGGAAGACAGTCTTCTATTTTACTTCATCCTTTCCTTTCCATTTCTGTGACAAGGCCTTTATAGCCCAGGTTGGCCTTGAACTCTCACAGGGATCCACCTGCCTCAGCCTTCCAAGTGTTGAATTATAAGCATGCACCATGCCTTATTCACATGATCCTTATTTAGTGTCTCTAATCATTTTAAAATAAGAGACAGGCGGTGGTGGCGCACACCTTTAATCCCAGCACTCGGGAGGCATAGGCAGGCGGATCTCTGTGAGTTCAAGACCAGCCTGGTCTACAAGAGCTAGTTCCAGGACAGGCTCCAAAACAACAGAGAAACCCTGTCTCGAAAAAACCAAAAATAAAAAAATAAAAAGAAAATAAAATAAGAGACAGAAAGAGAGATGGGAGTAAGAAATGTTCTGTATCCTTAAAGTAGAGGCGGGGTTGATTGAGGGCCAGGGGTATGGGGTGGTTGAAATGCAGCCCATACTCCACCTGCCAAGTAAGAGCCACGGAGAGACAGTGGTCAGGAGAGGGAGGGGACCAGCTCTCATCCAGGCTCCATCTGTGCTGCTGGGGCTGTGTGCTCATCACAGGATGATAAGGGATAAGCCAGTTCCCTCAACTGTAAAATGGAGACAGTAACATCTAGTTTTTCTACAGAGGTCAAAGTAATTCATGGATGTTCTTTTAAATCACTTCCCAAACACAACTGCTCTGGTTTCCCACGAAAAAGAGGAAGAACGGAGTTGCACACAGATCTCGGAGAGAAGGCATACTCACGGTGCTTTCTGTTTATCCTACTTCCTTCCAGTTTAAAACATAATTTGTATAGGGTAACTGACCAAATATTTTCTCATTTATCTCAGACTTCCATCATGGACGCCAGTAAGTGTGTGTGTGTGTGTGTGGGGGGGGGGGGGGATAGCCAGTTCCGAAGCCTTCTGACTGAGAAAGCTAAAATCCAGATGTTAGGGTTTTATTACTGGCGCTATGCAACCTTCCAAGTCCTTCACTTTTTTGTCTCTCTATAAAGCTCAGCTACATCTGCTGTCAGAACCAGTGTTCAGCAGTCCCTTGTCAAAAGAATTGATCAGATATCAGCAGATCATGTTACTTAGACGGTTGCAGAGACATGCTTTGCTGTCGGGTTTCCAGTCTCCCAAGCTTTCATGTGGGCACCAGGGCATATTTAACGGCTAAATGCCTCACTGTATCCAAAAAGCAAAGGGAGTAAGTGAATTCAAGAAAAGAAGGGGGCCATATATGGTTTGCATGAGTTCATTTATAGTGGATTGAGTGGCCAGATACTTTTCCATTTCAAGTCTTGAGTCAAAAGATCCGCACTGTCTCACATGGTACCCGTGCACAGCTCTGAAACAACCAACGAGTCCTTCAGAGGCCATATTTTATTTACTCCAACTAGGAGTAATCTTCTTTTTAAAAAGGTGTTTCCAAAGGAAGATGCTATGGAAAAGTCTCTCTCTCTCTTTCAAACACACACACACACACACACACACACACACACACACACACACACGGGGGGGGGTGTGCGGTTTGAGATAGGGTCTCACCATGTAGCTCCAATGTTCTAGAACTTACTATGTAGACTAGTTTGGTCTTGCACTCACAGAGATCCATTTTCCTGCCGCAGCCTCATGAATGCCAGGATTCAAGGTGTGCACTACCACCACTTTAGACAAGAATCTCTCCTACCTGAGATTCCGGGCACAACTGCTCCTTTATGGGAGGACATGTCTCACAGCTGCCCTGTTAGATCAGGAGGTTAGATTGGAAGTTTTATCTAAAGAGGGCCCTTCTAGAAAGTGGGCATGTGAGAATTCTGATGGTAAAAATACCTCTTTGACAATCTGTTAGTTACAGTAAACATTCTGGAAGAAACTTTTACAAGGAAAGGATGTATGGGCCTTGATACACGATGTCCTAATGTATAAAATTTTCTTTATTTTTGCCTTTATGATGGTGCAAAACTGAAACCCACTTCACACTTTGGACTTTGATCTTTTCCCAGGCCAGCAGTGCCGTAAAAGCTCATGATGCTGGGTAGAAGCTTACCACAGCTCTCAGCGGGTTGTCCCTCCAGGAAAGTAAGCAACCCATTCTTTATAGCTTATCCCGATGCTTACCTGTGATGCTCAGTGGCTTGGATGTGCCCAATGCATTTATTTATTTATTAAGCTTGCACTGGTTTTATAATTAAGGAGCTGAAGGCACGAGTATTGATTTTCCAGTAGAATTTTGAGGTTTTAGCAGCCAAATAGGGATTTTCCCAGAGGCTAGAAGGTACTGCCAGGCAGAGAGCAATGCTGCACGGTGCCCTGTTTTCTTCTGCAGACTGGGGAAGGGAGGTTCGTGCAGATGCTGTCTTTGGGGCTCTCCGTGCACACATATTTGGTCAGTATAATTTAACTTGTTTTATGAAAGGGAGCAAAGTCACCACAGTGGGAGGAATGACACAGGGCAATGACCAGTCACCACGTAAGCTGTGTGACACACCTGAGCTGTGTCATTGTAGGATCACTAATCTCCCCGGCTGAGTTGTTTACAGCCACTCCAGTAAAAGGCCCTTCAGTCTGCCTCTGACTGCCTGAGCAACAGCCGGGGAACTGACCCGTGAGGAGATAATCTCAGGCATATTGACTTTTGCATAAATAGATACACACAGTGTGTATGTAAACAAATGCATGCTTTGGTTTGTTTCCAAAGGTGAATGTAGTCTTTATTTTATATTCTTGACCATATCTCATAGAGGCCTTTCCAGACATATCATTATTATCATAAATTCTTCACTGAGAGCAATAAAATAGCCAGATTGTGAGTTATTATGAAGATGGCTTTCAACAAGTAGCTGAATGTTGAATAACTCAAATTCATATTTTAGTAGCTGGGCTTTGGGAATCAAAAGGGGTTTTGTTTCTGGATTTTGCTTTATGAAATAACATACACACTTAAGCATAATAAATATTCTCACTTACCAGCCTTGGTGGTAGTGACAGATATCCCAGCAGTTTCTTGTACTGCTCAAAGGTGGAAAACTGAAACAGAACCAAACCTGGAGATTTATAACAATTTCCTCAACAAACTCTCTAATTGGCTAAAAGTCCTTCAGTAAATCATGATAGTAATCAGCTTCTAAACATGATGAACCATCTAACACAGCTTTTAATCCTGTCTGGGGCTGTTGCTGTGAGATGCCATTTTAACATTCCCATTTTTCAAATGTAGTTATAATAACTTACAGAAAATCTGATGGAATCCCTTATAGCAGTAAATGAACCATACGACTTCCATTTACCATGACCATTTTCAGTTTCCCCAGACATCAATAGACTTCTTTCTTATGGCAGTGATTCAAAATTATAGGCTCAGAGACCCGAAATCCTTGGTCTTATATGTTTTTACTACGAACCACTTTCCAAGAAAATGCCCCATTTTCTTACACAGTTGTAGAACACATCCACTTCTTAGCCTCGCGTGAACACTGCTTGTTCTCCTGATAGCTCCATGGATTTTAAACATTGTGATTGCAAAGATGCCTTGATAAGCTAGCGAAGGGCCCATCAAGTATATCTGGTCCACCCTCTTGCCCCAAAGAAAGACTGTTCTCAGTCTTATTCCCTCCTTTAGGCTCTGAAGATGACAGCAGTGAAGAACATGGATCAATAATGATGCTGCTGCCGCCTTCAGAGGACTCTACTGAGTTGGGCAGACACATTTTTCTCCTGGCAAAATAAAATAATTCCTTCATATAATATATTTCTTTTTTGTTCCCTGTATTCTGTATTTTGAAAAATAACTCAGCTTGGGCAGGGTATTTTGTTCCTGAGAACTGAACTAGTTTAATGCCAACACCAATGCCAAGTAGGATTCCCTGACCAATGAAAATAGGTCGTACTCTTAAGACCTGCAGTGGCTGATTCTCAAGAACCAAGAAATGGGATAGTAAATCATGCTATAATAAAACAAAGCAAGGTAAAAAAGAAATATAGAGTTTTTGGGAGTAGTTACACTCCATTGTTAGAAAAAGGTGGTTTCTTGTGTACATGGCCCTAAAGTCAACAGATTGACTCTTCTTATTCTTTTAAAGAATTAGATCATTGTCATGATATTTTAGATGGAGTATTAATATAGAGTTTTCTAGAACAAGAATTTGTTCCTTCAATTACCAAATAGTTATTTGATTCCTTCCATTCTAGGCACTCAGAATACAGCAAACACAGCCAACACCCTGCTTTCCCACCCCCACATAGTAGGGACCATTGCTGTTTTGATGAGAGACACATTAGAAACCCTAGGAGTCACTCCAGGATTTGGAATGACTAAATAAACTGGAATTCTGAGGCATTTTTTGTTTGTTTGTTTCTTTGAGACAAAGACTCATTATGTGACCCATGTTAGCCTAGAACTCATTATTGTAGTCATTGTTTTACTTCCTAAGCCTTTAGGTGTTGAGACTATAAGGGTGCTCTAATGTTAGGCTTTAAAGAACATTTACTTCCTTTTTATGATTGTCACCACCGTCATTGTGTTTAGACAGTCACTTTGCCAGGATTTTGAAGTGGTCAGTATACATCTGAAGCCTGGCTATGCCACTCATCATGGAAGTAAGCATGGGAACATTGCTTCAACCGTCTAATGGTCAACTGCAACAACTTTACCTATTAGAGTTGCCATGAGATAATGTAATTTAAGTAGGATTCCCTGACACAAGACTTAGGGAAATTTGTTTCTGTTTCTTGTAGTATGTTAACAGAGGAACCACTGATGCCTAAGTCATGGAAGTCTACTGTGATTCAGGAACATGCAACTTTAACACACATGACAATTTTGTCAGCCAAGAGGCTAGGGTATGGACTGTAGCCATACCTCAGTAGCAGCGAACTTTCCTATCATACACAATGCCCTGTGATCAATCTCTGGTCTAAAAAAGGGAGGGCAGGACTAGGATGTACTCATGAACCACATCATATTAGAGTCATTATACTGAGTTCCTGTCCCACACACCACTGTGGGAACAATTCTCTATCCTGGCGTTGGGTCATGAATGCCTTGGAAGGTGATAGGCCTCATAGAAGTCTCTACTACTTTAGTAATTTACTGTGTGAGATGCATTCATTCAATGTTTGTCTTTTCCCCTATCTGGTTTTCTGTCATTTTAGGGATTAAAGACACAACTGGTATGTGAAGGAAGAAGTCAAAGGACATGGACTCAGCCCACAACTCTATCAACTCTTGTTGACAGAGGTTTATGTCCCACCTGGTCCTGCAACTTTTCAGTCCCAAAGAAACACACAGATGTCTACATTAATTATAAACTGGTTTGCCTATTAACTCAGGCTTCTTATTAACTAATCCTTACATCTTACATTAACCCATTATTCTTGTCTGTGTTAGCCACGTAGCTTGGTACCTTTCATCAGCGAGGCATTCTCATCTTGCTTCCTCTCTGTCTGGGTGACAACTACAGACTGACCTTTCTTCTTCCCAGAATTCTCCTGTTCTCATCACCCTACCTCTACTTCCTGCCTGGTTGCCCCACCTCTACTTCCTGCCTGGTTACTGACCAATCAGCATTTTATTAAAAATAATACAAGTGACAGGATAAAAGGCCATTGTCCCACAGCAAACACTCACGAGGATTTTCAAGCATACACCTTGGGACAATTCTAGTCTATTCAGTTTCCTGTCTCCAGTTTTCTTCTTCTTCTTCTTCTTCTTCTTCTTCTTCTTCTTCTTCTTCTTCTTCTTCTTCTTCTTCTTCTTCTTAAGACCATGTCCATTAAACAACCCATTGAGAAACCCAACATCCTTGATGTTCTGTTTTGGGACATAATTGAGCTATATGAGAGCATGAACCATTCAAATCTTGTCTCTAAAATAATGGGAGCTGAGAAGTGCCCCTACAGCACTCATATCTGCTCTTATGGCACGGTCCCTTTGAGCACTCTTCTCATGCCCTTTGAAAGTGGAGCTTTCTGGATGGACTGACAAGCACAGGAGTGGTTCCTAGCCCTGTGTGCTATCAAGCTCTGATTCTCCAGTTCTCTGGAGTTGTTATTTCCTGGGAGGTAGACCTTCTCTCATTGGCTCAAACTGCTGAATACTTGAAGGGTTTCTCTGAAAACCTCTCTGTCTCTTTGTTTCACTCCTGTCCGTGCCAGTAACCTTTCTATTCCTAGAGTCTGAGATTCTTTACCCAATTATTCTACTGGGTTCTGCCTTTATTTCTCCTCTTTACTTAGGGCCCAGAAACCCTCTCAAGTCAGTACATTCACAGGGCTCATCTTGGCTGACTCCCTCTCCCAGATGTTACTATCCTTCATTGTGTGATGTCAGGGTCTCTAAACAAACTGCTGTTTCTTGTAGGTTGTTTATTGTTACTGCTCATGATGTTGCTCACATAGAAGAGTTAATCTGGCCATTATTCCATCTCGATCAGAAGTGAGAGTCTTAGCCTTCAAGATACTTTGAATAGTAAATGTGGGAATTTGAGAATTGGAATAGATTATCTCCAAATATAAATGTTTTTCCCATAAATGTGTTCCTGATTCATTGACTAATTTAAACATCAACTATATGTAGATGCCACAGGAAGTGAAGGTACACAACAGTGAACAGGCAGACTTCACATGCTTATAACATAGCCTCCCATGAGTTTGGTCAGGGTAAAGAGTCTGGAAAATTTGACCATAGAATACAATTGCATTTTGGCCTTGGCAGGCTGAATAGCAGACTCTGAATCCCAGAACATGCTGCCTGCCATCTCTCAGTATCTCTGCCTAAGTCTTCATTTCTGTTCATTGATTGCAGTTTGATTCTATCTTAATTTTGGAAACAGAAATATAATTTATCTATAAGTGTTATTTTAATTATAAATCTAATTTCAAACAAGAAAATACAGACAAGCCTAAAACTGCCTGTTTATGATTATGGTAACAATTATAACTAAAGTTTCCATCCCAAGGAAGACATATATACATGGTGTATACTGAGTCCATGTACACAAGCGTGTGCGTGCACACACACATACACAGAGGAATTCCTGAATATTTTGTTCAGAGGTAAATTTCAATGACACATAATGGGGTATGAAATCGTTATAATCAGATAGTTGCTTCCCTCCCAAATCCTAAGGTAAATATCTATAAAATGAATGTTTTCATAAGTTGTATTGAAGAACTGGTGTTATCCATCTGGCAAAGATACACTTAACTACAAGTTCTACTTAAAAAGCCAACGTACTTTCCATATGTCTCAATAATTTTAAGGTAAAATCTCCTTGCAACAAGATGTCTGGGACACATCCACCATATCCAGTTGCCCAGCAGTTCATCTGTTAACCATTGTTCTGGCACGGAGCGCTGCTTTATTTTATTTTTTAAGAGACAAACTCGGTTTTGGAAAACTCAAGTTTTTTTTTTCCTTCTTTTTTTTTTTTTGCAAAGGATTGTTTAAGATTGATAAAACTTAATCCTCCTAAAGTGTAAACTGTCTCCAACATACAGCATTGAGGGAAATGACTGCAGGAAGAAGCCTAATTATAATTTACTTTATTTATACGTGGAAAACACTGAACAAATGAATATATTATTCCAGGGAGACAAAGTGACTTTCCTTTTGAACAGGAACTCTGTTCTGTTTGTTTACTTGGGCAATCTTTTATCAAGTGAAGCCGTTTCATAATTCAATTCAGCCCTTTTGTGTACTTTGGTGAACTTTTTCCAGATCCTCCACTGAGATTCAGATCCTTATAATGAAATTTGTATTGAAGCAATAATATGAAAGCTCAGAAACTACAGCCACAAAGAAGAGAAAGTATGTTTTCGAGCGTTCGTTTCTGAACTTGAGACCTGAACTCAAATTCTATTAAATTACTATTTGACATAATGCAAAAGCTTGATGTTTGTGTATATATATGTATACATATGTATATGTTGGTTATTTCATCATGTTTTAAAACCCAGTCATCCCCTTCATTTACTCAGTAACAGCATGTAAGCTGCTCCTTCTTGCCTTTCAGGAATATCAGGGATAGAAATTGAGGATGTGAAAAAGCTTTATGCCATTAAAATAAATGGCATAAAGTTAGAAAGGAAGTCTTTATGACTATGTTTATGTTATTTTTATAGAAAGATAAGCCATATTGGGTGATGTCAGCAATGGGGGCTGGGGGGAGGGCCATGCCAGTTAGGAGCAATTAGGACGTTAGCCTGAAAGAACACATGGGAAACAGTGTGGGGTCATCTTTTATCCTTCGAGGGTCTGGCACACACTCATGGTCACACAACCACACCAGGAAGTTGTATGTTAACCTCCAGAGCTGTATGTTAAAGAGACAGAGACACCAGAAGAGAATTTTAGCAGAAGATATTAAAGGGAGAAATAAAGTCTTGTTAAAAAATATGTAAGAGTCATACACAAAAAGTGTATTTCAAGAAACAGAAATGACTTCAGAAGTGGTTTTCTACTTCTTTTTCTTTAATACTTATTGCTCCAAAAGAACATTTCTGAGGCCGAAGTGATTTTGTGATTTAATTATTTGAGTTTCAGATACTGCTCTGTGAACATGTGTGTGGGTGTGTGCGTGTGTGCGTGCATGCGGGTGGGTGTGTAAGTAATTTCCTCATTAGAAAGAAGCAACTTGGCCTTAAAAAGCAGCTCCAAACAAACAAATATGCATATTGGAGAGACTGACCACGTCTAATTATAACGAAGATTGATTATGATACAATTTCTGCATTAAAGCTTTTAGTGTTTTACATTAAGTGATATTAGTGCTCCCTTGATTACCATGGGTGTCTGGACACGGTGTGCACACTTGGTGGTAAAGCATAAAGCACTTACCTTGACTGCACATTTTGGTGTTTCAGCTAAAATGGGTGGTAGAATTCCTTTGTAAAAGCCAAAAAGCCTATAGGGGAAAGAAAATATTTTTATATGAATGAGGAAATTGACATCAGATAATTTTGCTTTTGTTTATGAATAAAGAAAATGACTATCTAATCTAGCACACCAATTGTGAAATTTGAGACGCTAGAGTGAAGGTGAGAACCCAGTGTCTGTCACAGTTATTTGTCTATCCTGTGTCATCACAGAAGATGGCTCAGTAATTCTGAGTCTGGAACCCTGTAAGCAAACTGAGAAACGTGGCCACAGCTCCATCTCATAGGCAAGCTTGACTCAGTCTTAGAGATTTCGATTTTCTCTGTGTGGTAGATCACTTCAAGTTATCTAAGGTCTTTTATTTCCTCAATTTTGGTAACCAAATGAGATTAGGGTTATACTCAAATGTAGCAGATTGAACCCTTTTGGAGCCAGCAAGGCTAAATATAATCTTTAACTCTGGCTTTATTAGTTAGTTCTGAGTTTGTGAAATTAGGTCTCCCATCCATCCTGAGTTAGTTATGTATATTTTGAACTTCTTTAGTGGGAGAGGAATAAGTTTGAGGAGGGCCAGGATTAAGGTTATGTAGATTGGCAGAGGAAAAGCTGGAGTCCTTCCATGTCAACACTGAGGATAAATTTTGCAAGAGTATCAAATGCTTCTTCTGGACAATTAAAACTCACCATTTTTCTTAGTTTTCAAGACTCAAAAATTTAAACTAGACTATCTAAGAAACTTAATGCACATGCCGTTGCTCCCTTTCCACCTTCCCAGTATAGAAGTAGAATATTTTGTTCGATTTTCTGAAGTAATCCATCTTCTTGATAACACCATAAAGGCTACAAAGAAGGGAAGACTCAATATGTCTCTGGTTTAGGATGTTCTGATTAATGCAAAGGTTCACTCAAACTTCCTAATATTGATTCTGCTTTTCTTTATGTTTCTAGAACAAAAAGTTAAGAGCTTACTCCAGCTGACCTTGTGTTACCCACCCAAACACAGTGACTTCTTGCTTTTACCAATTCATTGGCTTAAATGGCAAACTTAAGGAGGGAACAAATGCACATGTTACATTTCTCAATTGTTAGTGCCTTCAGGTTGGGTTGCTTTGTGGGATCTTACCTTAGAGTCCTTTTTGAGCATAGAACAAAATCTTGTTAAGTATGATTCCTGATAGAGGTTTACTTTGCCCACTGGTTTTGATGCAATAGAGAATATGAGTATCATGATTGGAAATAAAGAAAACTCAATTTGAAGAAGTACAAGAATCTGCAAATTGCCAAATTCCATTTCATCCCTATTTTCTCTACCGATGCCTACAATTTTCACATCAACCCCTCCCACCACAACACACCTGTACAACTTAAATACTTTTCTAATCATTTAAATTTCATTGAGGTGAATTGCTTTTCACTCTTCAGTACATGAGTACGGGCTTGGTCTTCCCATAGATACATGTGGGTTTGTGACTGGAAACTCTACAACTATAATTAAAGCAGTTACTAGTGTTGTTTTTTTTTCTGTAAAGATCTTTCCATATCTGAAAATTTTGGGGGCGATAAGAGGGTGAAATTAAGAGGAACACATAAGCAATGTCATAAAAATGGAATATTCAGGGTAACGATGGATTTGATGTCCTTTATTGCAGTAGCAGAGAACAGTTAGAAAGAAAAGATGCTAACCTAGGCAACAATCTTAGGCAGGAATACAGTGAACATTATGTCTCTCTTGAAAGGCAGGCATGTGGGGAAGATACTGGAGTTCTGTTTCCAGGTGAAGGAACTGGTACCAAGAGGCAGAAGCAACAAGGAAAGACAGCCCTCAGCCAGATGAGTTTTATTAAAAGCACTTCCAATAGGAAAAAGGCAATAGAATGGCTTTGTCTGAAAAGTGGTGAGCTCTACTTTGACGTTTGGTCAAACAACCTGGATGTCTACTTGTTGTGGATGCCAGAGGTGAGATGTATTTGGCAATGGGTGGGATTGGAGATTCTTAAAGTTAGTCTTTCCCAATCATCAGATTCTGTAATCCCAAGAAAAGAACAAGAGGACACGTGAAACTTTGCCTTACTTTAGACTTTTTTGTCTCAAGTATAGCATGGCTTCTCTGGAAGAGGATTGTCTCGTAAGTAACACAAGGACTTCATTTCTTAATGGAAGAAAATATTAAAAAGAGGTGTAAGGCAGGAGGGAATGGAGAGGCAGCTGCGAGTAACATAAGGGTTTAATCTATAAAGAGCCGGGAGGTCCAGAGCCCTCTGCTTCATGTTGGTGATGCTTCATTGGTGTGCCCTCCTTTCCCCCTCTCTGCTCAGCTCCTTTTATGTACAGTCACCTTACCCCACAGCCTGAGCTTTAGAACAGCACATGGGAGTTTTAACTGGAAGTTCTAAAGGATTCTGGGCATCTTTGGGTGCTAGATAGAATTTTAGAATCACCCACTTTCCTGCATTATTTTCACAGAATAGCCTTGCAACAGAGGTCAGATACCGAGAGTCATGCCAACTGCTTCTGTGGAGAATGGCCACACACCCAAGTCTACTGAAATCCTGGTGTCCAATTTATTAACACAGTATGAGACAACTGGGAGGCAGGGCTTGGTCAGACACCTTGTTCAAATGGACCCATCATATTCTAATTCTTCAGTGCGACTCAACTAGACCTATTTACGTTTTTCTTCAGGATATAGGAATTGGTACTGAGAATCACAGTCTTGTTCAGTGTGCTTAAAGCTCTAAACTATAAAACCAGTATGCCAACAGCAGTCATGTTTCTGTCATTTGGAAGAGGTCAATCTGCTGTGACAAAAGAGGAAAGGAAAAAAAGGAAACCCCTACTCAGGGAGACCGGAAGCAAGAAAGGGCAGACAATCTGGCGCTGCGTATGTGACTTCACCACCAGAATTTCTTTAAACTCAGTTACATGTAGACCACTTTTTGAATATTATCTGTGATTTTCATTCTCTGTGATGCACCATAGCATCTCCAGTAAAATTTTATCTAAATACAACTGAGCTATGTTGACTACTTAAAGCCCAGCGTACTGGATCCAGAAAGTATGTCTTAAGGTCCCAATGCCCAACATGGCTTTTTTAAGGCTTTCTATGCCATATCCTATGAGGAAAAACTAAAAACTATAAATAAATAAACAAATTAGTTAATTAAAATTTGTCAAGATTTCCCTTGGGACATTAGGAAGAGTTGCATACAAAATGTGGGAAGGAGAATGTAAGGAAGTCCCAAGCTGATGCTGTCTGCTGTCTTTCTGGCTTCTTTTGGTAGCTAGTTGAAGTTTCCTTTTGCAAAACAGGATGCACAGATGTAAAAACTTCAAGAGAGAATGACTTATTCTGTGAATGGCATTTTTCTACCCTGTCTAGAATTGTGTGCACTGAGTTTAGCTTGGCGTTTCAGAACAAAATCAGGGAAGTAAAGAGATTGGTAACACCCATGTTAACAATGTCCATATCATTTACCTCCTGAGAGGCAGATAGCTCGCTGCCTTCAGTCTACACGCTGAATGAGTGGCGAGTGGTACTGCACTGTTTATGAAGCCTTGCCAACAGTTCCTCCCCTGGCAAGACAGTCAATGGACCACTGTGCTTTTAAGATTGAACTTGCACCAAGTCAAATAGAAAAATCTTTGGATGAGGCTTAAGGGTCACTATAGGACTTCTTCTAAAAGTGTGCTATCAACTTTGGGGCTGGAGAGAGGGTTCAGTGGTAAAGAACTTGTTGCTGCTCTTGTAGGGGACCAGAATTTAGTTCCCAGCACCATGTTAGGAAGCTCACAGCCACCTGTGACTTCAGCTCCAAGGGCTTTGATGCTCTCTTCTGGCCAGACTGGGTGCTTGGATTCATGTGGAATTACCATCATGCCGACAGCCCACTCCCAGCCCTATAACCCTCCACATTTATACAATTAACTTTTTAAAATTTAGACATGTACCCCCTTCCCTAAGTTCCATATTCTGGCCCACAACTCTGGCAACTTTGCCAGATACACTGAACCTGAAAGAAGAGAAGGTGGGGAATAACCTTGAATATATTGGCGCAGGAGACAACTTTCTGTACAGAACACTAATTGTGCGGACACCAAGATCAAAAATTAATAAATGGCACCTCATGAAACTGAAAAGCTTCAGTAAGGCAAAGGATAAAATAGCCCACCATAGAATGAGAAAAAAATTCTCACCAACCTCACATCTGACAGAAGGCCAATTGCCAAAATATATAAAGAACTCAAGAAACTAGATAGACATCACCAAACCAAACAATCCAATTAAAAATGGGGTATTTATCTAAACAGAGAATTCTCATCAGAGGAATCTCAAATGGTTGATAAACACTTAAAAAAATATTCAACATCCTTAGTCATCAGGGAAATGCAAATCAAAGTGACTCTGAGATTTTATTTTACACATGTCAACATGGATAAGATCAAAACCACAAGTGACAACTCATGCTGGTGAGGATATAGAGCAAGGGGGACACTCCTCTATTGCTGGTGGGAGTGAAAACTTATACAATCACTTTAGAAACAAATATAGTGGTTTCTCAGAAAATTGGGAATTGACCTACCTCAAGACCCAGCTATACCACTCCTGTATATATACCCAAAGGACACTCTACCATATCACAAGGACATTTGTTCAACTATGTTCATAACAGCTTTATTTGTAGCAGCCAGAAGAAACTGGAAACAACCTAGAGGTCCATCAACCAAAGAACGGATAAAGAAAATGTGGTACATTTACACAATGGAGTATTACTCAGCTTTTTATAAACAAAGGCAAATGAATGGAACTAGGAAAGATCATCCTGAGTGAGGTAACCCAGACCCAGAAAGACAAACATGGAATGTACTCACTTATAGATGGATATTATCTGTAAGGGATAACCATGGTACAATCCACAGACCCAAAGAATCTAAGTTACAAGGCTCAAGGTGTGGGCAGGACCTGAATCTCACTGTGAAAAGGAAATAGAATAAGCATCATAGGTTGATGGAGGTGTGTGTCTTTATGGG